TGCTGAGGCTGTGACTGAAGTTGATCCATGTATTGTTTTGTTTTGATGAAAATTGTACAGAAAAGAAGCAGCACTTCCATGTTTTCATTGTAAAGTCTGAGTTTTTTGTTGGACGCTGCCTGTGTGTGTGTGTGTGTGTGTGTGAACCTAAAACCAGTTCATTCACGTGTTTGGTCGATTTGATTGCAGGCTTTCAACGTAAATGTGTTGACGTGTTTGACCATGTCAGTACAAACTCACAAAATATTTCCCTGACAATTTGATTTTTACGTTTTATACCATAAAGCCTCTAATTCTGGGCTTTGTAATTGGCTGGAACCTGATTGGATCAATCCTTCAACCACCGTCTTGTCTCTGGTGGAACCTCTTCTTTTGACTCACTACTCAAATGTAAAATATATGCCTTTTGATCTCACTTGGATGTGGAAGTTTAAGCTCACACTTGACTGCAGTGAAGATGAACACGTCAGGTTAAAAAGTAGGTCAGAGATTCAATTCCATCAGGTAAATTCTCCTCTCAGATATCCTCGTGCTCAGCAGGGGTCGGAGCTAATCTGATTCTCTGGTGAGCGTCCACGTGACTTCAGTCGGGTTTGGGGTCAGCAGATAAAAGTTTGCACTCACTATAAGTTCATCACAGGAAGTTGAAAGAATCCACACAAGTATCTTAATTAAACGCCTTAGAATCACCACAGTCTCTTCAGCTTCAGTTTGAATGCACTGTATTCAGCTTTTTGGAACAACAAGGTCTTATATCATGTAAAACCAAAGGCCATTATACCATGACCTGATGGTCAGAACGTTCCTCTTTGCCTTGTTTTACCAGTTTGATGAGTGCACGTGATCTGCAGCTGTCAGAGGTCAACGATTTAAATTCTTTAAATGTTGCAACATGTATTTATTCAACTCTTAACTTGTGAAATTTGTCAGTTTGAAACTCAGGTTTGTTTCCTTTCATCAAAAAGAAACAGTCGCTGTATGTGAAAAATTAACCAATAATTATACTGCACAAGTAGGTGGAGTTATTCTAGAAATGAAATCAGAAGGTTAGTTCAGAGAAAAGGCACGTGAGCGTCCACGTGAGCGTCCACGTGAGCGTCCACGTGAGCGTCCACGTGAGCGTCCACGTGAGCGTTCACATCAGGGTTTTCGTACGAACAACTGAAGTTCCCACTGTTTTTATGTTTCATACTGAACTCTATTTTTCTTATGACGGTGAAGCTGATTGGCTGAGACTCAGTTTAGATCTCAGAGCCGTGTGAGGGCGAAGCTGATTGGCTGTTTGTTTCCTAATGTTCTGGACACACATTAATACTAATCCTAAAAAGACTCAACATTAACCTGGACATTATTTCACTCCAACCAATCACTGATCCTCCTCCACACTCACTGACTGACTGACTGACTGACTGACTCCAGGTCAGTGACATCACTCCTGTGCTGAAGCTGTGGTGAATATAGTCATCATGATAAATTCTCTATGACTGGAAACTCCAGCTCATATTTAGTACTTCAGGACTGGCTTAATAAAAGTTGTGAAAATATCTTTAGCTCCTAACATTAGCACAGAGGCAGTGATTTAACTTTCCTCTGTGACCTTTGTCTCAGCGGAGCTGTGAATAACCGTCTGCTGAAGACTTGAGTCGGACCAACCTCATTAGACTCTGCCATTACACAGTAATAATGGCCACGAGGCTCTGTTTTTCTTTTTTATAAAGTCGGTATAAAAAACCTGCCAAAGAGGTGAAAACACATGCCTCACATCTCACTTCCTGAGTGTTTGAAAATGATTCAATTTTCACAGCTGTACATTTATAAAATAATGACAAAGTCTTTGGGAACGACTCAGGAGCTCTCTGACTCTTTGTCTCTGGAGCTGCCGGCCTGGTTAGACTTGGCCAAAAGACTGAGCACGGCCGATCAATAAGGAACCGTCTTTGAATAATAGTCAACCCAAGAAAAAAGAGACGGAACGGCAATAAATGTCCTGCTCCTAATTACTGCTGGTGATTTCCTGGTGGCTGCAGCATCGTTCATAAACGCCACGACTCATCATTACTGTCTCTTCACACCTCTGAAAGACTCATTACCTGCATAATGAAATCCTGCTCAGAATGAACAGACTTTTGCTCTGAGTGAATTAATCATCCAGACCGACTGACAAAAACAGCAATTCTCCCATGAAGTATTTAAAAAGCCCAACACACAGACCACCAAACTGTCCTTCATGGGACTTGTGTGACCATCCTGGAGACAGAGGCGTACTTACAGTTGACTGTGACTTTGACTATTTTGGTGTCAGGAGAGGCGATGTCGTTCAGAGCGCTGCACTCGTAGTCTCCAGCCTGGTCCCTGCTGATGCCTGTGATGTTCAGGTGTTCACCGCTGTCGTACTTCTTGGCTGGAAATAGAAAAAGGAAAGCAGACAGAGTGCTCACAATGTGTCTCCACAGAATACACAAACTTAGACTGGTGCACACACACACACACACACACACACACACACACACACGCGATGACTTCTTCAGCTCTTTTTTTTTTTTTTACCCAAACCTTAACACAAACACAAAGACTTCATTTTAATCTCCAACCTCTGAATGTCTCAGTGAGGACCTGCACAATGTCCCCACAGGTACCACTACACACACACACACACACACACACACACACACACTGGTTTTTGTGTTTTATGAGTACCTTCCCAAACCCCCCCCCCGTGGTTACTGCTAATCCTAGTCATTAATCTAGTTCTAATCTGACTCTAGTTCTTGTCCCAACTTCAAACTGATTTAGTTTGAAGTTGGGACGAGAACCAGGGTCAGATTAGGGTCAGATTAGGGTCGGATTAGGGTCAGATTAGGCCTGTGGGGCGTGAAAGGCACTGATGACTGAACATGTGATAAAACACATTCATAAACACACAGACATATGGATCTGAACTATGTCCACACCACACACTGTAGCTGAGACAGACTTGACTCTTTTTCTGTCTGTGAGACAACGTCAACTACAAAGACAAATGTCCAAACTTCAGCCTCACCAAGAATAACACAGGCCTTTTGAGTCTGTCGTAACCCAAACAAACATCTGGAGTCTGGATGTGTGAAGATCTCAACGTTGTTGAACCGAGTCCGTTTTTTTTTTTTTGTTTAAATTTCTTCCATGAAAATGTCCTTCTCACACTTCAAACTCAGAGCTGCAGGTTTCAGGCAGGTGATAATGACTCCCACATTCAACTGTTCCCTTTAATGATATCCACAGGTGGCGTGTGTGAGCTTCTAATTAAACTGATGGAGCAAACTGTTCCATTCACCGTGTTCTTACAAATGTAGATTTTGGAGCCTGTGCTGATGAGTCACCGCCAAAAATATGGGAGAAAATGTAATGACATTTATGAGATAGTCAAACGTTAATTAAGCCTCAAGGTTAGTCACACTGAATTAAGTAGGATGGAAGATATGTATCAGCGCTGCCCAGGTGATACCGTGGATTATAAACCATCCACTCTGTGTTTTGTAATTAGTTTTTTATAATTCATCCAGAAATATTCAACAAAACTATCCATTTAAATATTCCCACCTTATTTATCATCCACAGAGTGAGTCCATGCTCTGACGTCACCAACCTCAGGTGAACACGTGCAGCTTTGATTCTGACTGCACAGATTAAATGGAGGATTTTTGTTTTGGCAACAAATTAATTTTCTTACTGGAGGCAGATTAATTTCCTAGTTTTGAAAGAAACATATTCAGCTATAATTAATTATTTAAAATAACAAGCCAAACTCATTTCCACTCCAGGTCTGTGTATGATGAGAACCTGCAGGTTTGTGTCGACTGAGTGAAGGTCCAGTGGAGAACTGAACGCCTCGATCTGCAGAGAACGGGCTTCATTCTTTATGTCTGTCATTAGAGGTTGGTGTGGATGGTATTCAGGGCAGAGCCATCATTTAAATCCATGAATCCATGATGAAGCTGGCCTCCTCCTCCTCAACCCCCCCCCTCCCTGCAGAACCTTCTATTAATCACAGCTGGATTAAGACACTGCAAAGGTCAGAGTCTCCATTAAACAATGGAATGGGTTCCTTGATATCGTGGCATGTTTTAACCACAGCATTAAACTGTGAGAGAAGTTGAACCTTGACTTGACTTCACACATGACTCATGAAAAACAAACGTCTCCAGGATTAAACCACATAAAACTAACACAAGTCGTCTGTGAGTGTACACTCAGGTATTCACGTAACGGATGGATGGACCCCCCCTCACCCCCCCACCCCCC